TTTTAAAGGAACTCCTAAGGGTTAAGGCTCTGTTCCATTTAGGTGAAAGAGAGTCAGGGTGCTGCTGCTGTGCATGTTGACTCGCTAGAAGGCTGTGTTACACTAAATGGAACTAAAACCTAATTAGCATTATTAGCGCCTGTGTTCACACTGTCTAATGTCAAAAAGGTCTGTTCTGTGCTCCCACCAACTCCTGTTTACAACTCAGCACACTGTTTACCTAAAGGTTGAATTCCTAGACAATCATAACAAAGACAATACACCGTAAACAAAGCTGCACATATTCACAAGTCTTATATTCCGGTCTGTAGACGGCACTGGTTTGGTGCCAGTTTGTGTCAATTAAAGTTGTAATTTGGTGATTGTAAGTTGGCTTTCATGAAATGGATATAATGCACAATCACAGAACCATTGTGTATAAAATTTGAAAATGTGCCCTCTAGCGGTAGCATCAGAAAATAATTTGTTGCACTTCACACTTCCTAATAGAATATGGCAATTTGCATACTGACTCAAACTATTTGACTTTGTTGTGTGGGGCAGAGGACTGTCCACATCACCTTTTAAACTGCATTTATTCCCTTTATGAAAAGAAAATGTAGATTTTTACATATGGGAAACATTTCCAATTTATTGGTGCCTTATTGATTAATCTATTTCAATAAAACCCAATTAAACACAGATCGTTGTCAACATTTTTTATTATTGTTTACGGTCTTATACACAGATCTAAATTCATACAAGTCTCAAACTTGCAACAAAAGAAACAAACATCTCCTCTGCCACCAGAGGTTGCCCTAGCCTTGTTTTGGCCAGTATTGCACTCTGGGTAATGTAGGCACAGTGAAGAGGAAAAACCTAAGACAGCTGTCAGCAGGCCTGTCAGAGGAAAAACTCATGCAGCTTTTACACAGTACTCCGGTCATTAAAGCATGCTACAGACTGATCATTAGAAATAGTCTGGAAACCAAAACAGAAGAGATCTAGTAGCTGAGGTCAATCATTACAAAGGCTTCAGGATACACCTCTACCTTTTTACATTTAATAACAAAATCTCCACTTTGGTAAGGAAATGAGACTAATAAAAATAGAATCAATTTGTCATTCTACTCTGTTAAAGACAACTCTTTGATTGGAGCAAATAAATCTGTAGTGCTTGAAAAATGTTTAAATGGGCCGACATACTGTATGTCACACATAAATGCTCTTCACAGAAAAATATTAAAGTTACAAATGAATTAGTACGTTGGCACATCTGTGGCATTGCTGTAGCTCACGGTTCGGTTCAAATTAATGACAGTGACAGTCAAGTTGAGTCGAGTACAGTTTCATATTCTCTGTTGTTTCCGTAGCCCAGGTCTCTATGGCTTTGTCGTCTCTCTTTCAAATGTCAGCACTGCCCTACTGGAGGCCATCGGATCAATAAACATTGTGCATGCACATACACACATCTGTGTTTGCATAGAGCTGCAGAACACAAAGGATCTGAGAACGCAAAATCTAAATCTTGTAGTGGTTAAGCGTGAAAACTTAACAATATACAGAAAAGGTCGTAGGCAGAAGTGGTTTGTACAGCCTCAAGCATTTCAGGATGAACATCTGTACAGTTTTACGGGGTGGGGGTGGGGGGGGGCAAATATGGAGAATTTAAATATACATGCATATTTGGCTTTGCAGAGCCACTGATATAGGGGTGTCCAGGCTCCACACCGTCTCATCTGCTCAACCAGCTATTACGGTAGGTGCAAATACACAGAAACGCAGCATGTGACATCCACAGAGTCATCCACGTGAAGCTTTAATAACTTCAGCTGCTACTCCAGTGGATGTCTGAACTCCAGCAGCGGCTTCAGGAGTGTCAGGGGCCAGCAGTGTCAGTTGTGGATCAACAAATGGCACATCACAGAAAAGGGAGGGGTTCAATAGTGGTTTTAAGTGGCACTGGGATCAACTTGTTTCAGTTTTATGAAAATATGTTGCTGGAGGATGTATTTTGGGGGCAGGGGCTCTTCAATGGGTCATTAAACTGAAGGAGAGGAGGGGCTAGTGGTCAGTTACAGAAGATCAAGTGGACCTGCTGGCCGTAGAAGGGGTGGTTGGAGCGCTCGGCTACGGCCTGCCTGGCGATCTCCTCGCTAGGGAAGGTGATCAAGGCCTCGCCGCTGCACTGGCCACTGAAGTTGTACAAAATGAGAACGGCGTCTGGCTGGAGCTGCAGAAGACAAACACATGAGACAAATAAGCGCCACTAATGTTAATGCAGTTGTGCCGTGAAACCACCGGGGGGAGCCCACAAAGCTGAGGATGAAGAAAGCCTTGGAACATCTCCTCTCATCAAACCAGTCCAGTTAGGTAGAAAAAAAGAGGAGATTAATGGGCAGAGCCTGAGAGCAAAAGCAGAGTACATGCTGTTCCCAGACGACCTGAACCACACACACACACACACACACATTAATTAGTTTGCATGCATCCACGTATGCCATTAAAAATCAAGTTTGATGCAAAAAACAAAAATCAGTTTCTTTACGACATGCAGATATGAAACAACTCCCTGATCACATTGGCATTGACAGCAGTAACATCCATGAAATCTACGACAGTGGGAGACAGTGTTAGTGGGATAATGCAGTCAGGAGAGGGTTCACAGGTAGTGAGGCAAACCCTGAGTCAGAAAACATTTAGGTAATTTAGAGAAGGAGTGCTGAATCGAGACTTACTGACAATGCAGTGTGTGTTATCAGTGGTCCTAAATCAATACTTCTGTTAACAGAGGCAATGGGAAAGCATTCTTTTCCTGAGTCAGTTTCTTTCATCTATTTAATTAGAACTGGAAGCAACACCAAACTTCCTGCATAGAGCGGGTGTCATCTTCAGTAAATCAAGGTACATAATATGCAGGAGGCCTTGCTGTCATAAGTCCAAGTTGTAAAACTGAACCGAAAATCCACATTTGTGAATAAATGAAAGCACAAGTCAGACAAAGAATCAGCCGTATCTACAGTAATTATTCTAGGTGGTGAAATTAATGACAGCTTTGGCCTGGAGTCACTTCATCAGAGGATTTAACAAAAAAGCAAACGACGGCTCAGTGTCCCTCGTATTTCATTCATTATGTGTACCATGCATGTTGTTTGTGTAAGGACTCAGCACTCGGGCCTACAGGAGAGACGTTAGTGATGAGGCAGATTTGTTTGGGAAGCAGCAGGTTGACATGCCGGGTAAGGAACTCAGAACCTTGATGTCTAGAGTGGGCATTCCTGTTTCCTTTGGGAGCTGTGGTCAAACTTAAGCACTGGTTTGGTGATTTGCAGGTAAAATAGCTTTTAAATGTTGTAATTAATATACATTACTGTGAAGCAGGTACTTGCTTCATGTTTGAATATAATGTTTTATGTAGCCTGCAGTGTGACAATTCAAGTTCACTTCCTCCAACTTTGACCTAGATGTCGTGGCCAGCAAATCACCAACTCAGTGCTTACTGGGCAGTTTGATGCTAGTCCATTCCTGCTCGCATTAGCCTGAACATATAGGCGTCATTTAAGTTTAGGAAATGCCCTCTCTGTCCACTCTGGTTCTCTGGTCCGGAGGCTCTTCTTACCTTGGGGTGAGTCCCTAAAGACAGAGCCATTCTTTGGGCTGAATCAGACTCCTGGCCTGTTCGCTCATCTGAACCATGTTGCTGTACTCGTCAGGGGCGTACTACAGATGGCATAATAATGAACGGACAGTCAGGGTGGGAGGCCTGAACATTGTTTCACACATGACAGTACACACTTTTAGATACACACAGGAGGTATACCCTCATAAATACTCGAGGAGGAAGACAAACGCGCGCACACACACACATACACACACACACATACACCACAGTGTGACAAAGCATGAGATTGTGTGGTAAGGGACCCCAGTACTGGTGTGAGAACTGTTTTCTCACCCCCAGCCAGTGACAGAGACGCTACTGCAGCCAGAAAAACACACACTCTCACTCCATTAAGGATACAATTACAGTAGTTCAGCCAACAGTCAGGACTGGAGTCAGCTTTTTTCTCTCTCTCTCTCTCTCTCTCTCACACATGCACACGCACAATTATCCCTCAGCATGTAATGTTCTCAGGTGTGCAACTCAATTGAAGTTCTTATTTGGTGTGCATTTGATGCTGGATATCACCTACAGTCACACACACCAAAGTACAGGGGTTGTAGCAGCACTAAATGACAAAAGCAATGAAGAGCAAAAGCAGACCCAAGCTCTGTGCTACAACAACAGTACAACCCCTCCACCTCAAACCCCACCCCTCTCCCTCTCCCTCCCCCCTCCCCGACTTGCAAAACCGCCTGGAGCCACACCTGTCAGGGTTCATACCTGCTTCAGAGGACTCCACCTAATTTGGACTGGCAGCGAAAAAATATGGGAAGCACAGAGAAAGGGGGGAGAGCACAAGTGCACACATGTCCCGCAGTTAAACACTACTGTGGTGTGATTTAGATATAAAAAGCACCAATGGTAAATATTTGTAGGTGCAGGGTTGAGAGCTCAGTGGATCAACAGCTATACACTTTATCGTGTTGGGTTGCAGGATGTGGGCTTCCCAATCAACCCAATACAGCCACACACACTTTGCCTATCGTTATGCTGGTCTGCGTTTAAATCGACCATCGTTGGCTGCTGCGAACCGCTGGCGAGGAGGTGCAGCTTTCATTCAAATGTGTGAGCATTTTACAAATACAGCTAAAATCATTCAGACAGTTAAAAACCATTCCACAGGTGCAATTATTATGTAGAACAACCTGCATGGCAATAAAATAACATGATATTATTTTCCAGCAAGCTTTTGCAGTATATGGCTTGCAAATGTACGCATCTTCGGGTGGCCCTTAGATCCCTGAGAACACAAATGGACTTTTATATCCATGCTTCGGTGCAACATGTACTGACCTGGTATCCCTGGAAGAAGCTAAGAATGTCCTTGACTCCAGTGTTGTATGGAAGGCCCTGCATCCTGACCAGGGCGCCATGTTGAGGCAGGACAGGAGAGGCGGCTGCGGCAGGGTGAGGCTGGCCTGCCACTGCTGCTGCCACTGCTCCCGGTGGGGCTGCAAAGTAGCTAACTGTGGAAGGAGAAACTGGGGGGCTGGAGGTGAAAAATTAGAAAGAACAAAAGAGGCAAGAAGTTAGAGATTGCATACCGTTATCACTGACCTAGTAGTTAGCTGTAGCTGATGATGCACTAACCTGGGGTAGTAAGCTGTGTAGTTCATGTTCATATTCATGTACAGGTGTGGGTGAGGGGGGTAGTAAGCCAGAGTGTGAGCGGGGCTGTGTGTGGTGGTCTGGGGAGGTCTGGGAGCAGCCAGCAGGGGGGGCTGGTAGAGAGCAGCCTCAGAGAGAATGGCAGGCGGGGTGGGGAAGGCAGCGTAGGCTGTGGGGGGAGACAGACCTACAGCAGGAGAAATATACAGTCACTTACATGTTCTGTTTAGTGCATGCACAGTCCCACCAAGAGTAAAGTGTAGTATGGAGAAATGTGAAGAGTTACAACATGCTGTTACAATATACTTCTAGCACCATGAGTCATGGGACAGCATGGTGAGGACTGAATACATTCATTCTTACAAAAAAAGGAAGTTTAAGACTGCAGTAGTTAGGAAACCCATGAACTCACTAACCATTCATGACAGTTTCTGGGGGAAAAATTTCCAGTGTGAGGATTTAGTTTCTTTTTTATAAATTATTGTAAACTGAACATTTACATTAATTAGTCATTTACATTACAAAACATTTGTCACCTGGGGCATTTTCTGACAAATCTGAAACATAAATTTAAGCCAAAAAGACTTATTTTGAACTTATAATCATCTATTGCAAACTTATTTTCTGTATGGACATTTAGATACAGATACTCATCACTGTCAGTCTTTAAGGTGATTTAGATGCTGTAACTGTCTACTTGTTTAAACCAGTCTGGTAGAGGTTTGGCATAGCAAGGAAACTGATAAGCAGAAAGAGATATAAGATCAGACCAGAATGACAGCCAAACCTATAAAAATAAGACCCAGGTTGGGAAAAACACAGATTTTTCCTTGAAATGGCAGACTGGAAAGGCGTGAGGGATTTTATTTACAAAGCAGGCTGTGTCCTTCAAGCTGTCATACCTACAATGTAAAACACATACAAACTAACAGTATGGTTGTATTTACATACAAACAGCCTCTATCACGGCGAGGCTGTGGGCATTTGTGGCCTCAGTCAGTGCCAACACGGTGACACAACACTGCCGACCTTGTGGAGGCTTTAGTGTTTCCAGGTTAGTCAGGGTGAACCAGGCAAAAAGAAATGACTGTTTAATTCTGGTGAGGACTGTAGATGAAAAGCTAAACTACAAAAACCTAAGATCAAAAGAGTCAACATTTGTTCATCAGTAACAATCACAGAATGTCCTCTCTAGTCGCTCCCAATCCCAATCTAATCTCCAGCACCAGACTGATATGAGCCATAACAGAGCAAAGTACACCGTTAGAGTTGCATACAGTCTCGTCTGAACTGGCATCACTGTTTCAGATGAAGAGACGTAGCTGTAAAGTATGCATATTACTAAAGAAATACCAGCAGAGTGTGGCACACTGAAATATTCAAATATTTTGATATGCAGCTTTTCATTTCTAGGATAGTATATGATAAGTTTGCTTGAATGCAAATGGAGTTCAGTGTTGCAGGCATCAAATATGCCTACCTACTCATTCAAGTTTATCAGTGTCCCAACAAGTGGAAAAAGGAAGTTTTATATAATACAAAAAAAAAATCCAGACATTGTTTAATCAAAAATACCACCATGACCATTCCCACAAAAGGAAAGCAGGCTTAATTGGTGGAGTTGACCTACAGGGTAGCTTGCAGGGTGGAGGGGAGAGGCCGCTGCGGTTCAGGGTTCCTCCCATCAGCACGATGCTCATCTCCTCGGTGGAGCACTGGAACACCTCCACATAACGGTCCTTCATGGTCTTTTTATGGCACTTCTGGGCCACCATAAATGCCTTGTCAGATGATTTCATTTGGATGAAGGCATCACCGGAGGGCCGACCCTGCAGAGAGGACAGAGAAAGAAACAGACAGAATAAATTAAAGGCAAAATCCACCAATAACATTCAAAGGACATGGCGGTCTACTGCAAAATGTATTTGGCAAAAAACTTGGTGATGTTAATGAATAAAAGAAAAAATATATGGGATTTTGTTATATTAAATAAAATGGCACCACACTACTCAATTTTATATTCATGTACAGCATCAGATTTAAAGAATAACCAAATCTGTAGGGAAAATTATAACTATAAAACACTTTTTATTTTACTTTAAAAAGGTCTTTTTGGTCTACAATATGATCATGTAGATTTACTTTAGATACTTTGAGAACTTAGTTCAGACTGGGGACTTGTAAGGTTTTCTTCTACTATAGTTATTTCTGATACTTACGGGTGAACATGGATGATTTCAAAAATCGTTGTAAGACATACAGCTTTACATTTACACATGTACCGGATCCCACAAGTCCCTACCAGTCTAACCTGTTGGTTGAGGACCATGTGGACTCCATGGGGTTTGATGTCAACGGTGTGCTCTCCCATGAACTCGAGGATATCTTCAATGCCGGCAGTGTAGGGCAGGCCACGGAGGCGGACACAGTCGCGAGTGCTGCTGGCTGCTGGAAGGAAGGGAGGCGTGGCAAGGACCGGAACAGGCACGATAGGTGAAGGGGGCAGCGTGGAGATCAGAGGCGTGGACATATAGCGGTTCAGGACCTGGAAAAGACAAAAGAATAAGCATGATGACAATACTGCTATGGTTCATTTTACACCATTCTCGACAGAGAAACTCTAACAGTGTCAATAAGCAGCTTTATTAATACAGAAAACCTTAAAAAATGAAAATGTTCACTTGGTATCAACATGTCACAGCCAACAGGAACAAGCTGAAGGACAAAAGTGTTTCTCAGGGTGAAAGCAACATACATATACATTGTGCAATAACTGTTATTTTCAGTTGTGCAAACCCCACAATCATCTGATTTATTGATGTCTCGACTGTTTTGTCACATATCTTTCGATGTTTGCTCACTTCTCTAGGTTGTCATGACAACCAGTTCAGTGACATCAGTTCTTTGAAAAACTTTCTGACGGAGAAGCAGCTGCTGTGGACGGCAGCATGTGGACTGGTATCACGGAGACACTTGGCAAGACAAAAAGGCTTTCTCAAGAGCCTTCATTGCAAGAAAACTAAATTCATTCATGTTTACACATTTATCTTGAATAGATTGTTATGTGAAACAGTAGTCCAATTACTGCCAAGACAAAAACATTGGCATGTTTGTGTCTCAAATAGAAAACCACAAGTTCCCCTCTTCATATGACCAGTCTCAAATGTCTAAAACAGAGGTTTCTGGAAATATCTAGGCGGGTTTGTTTTGTATATTAAACATATTGCACAGGAAAGAAAATCATGTCTTATTTATAAAAAAGGACCATACACGACCAGTGCCTTCTTTATTTCTTACATTTATTTTGAATACTTTGATGCAGTTTGTCAGCACATTTTCTCAGAATGTGGAATCTGACATGATGTGTTTTTTTCCTGTCATGACAAAACTCTATATGACAAGAAAAACTTTACCTGTTGCACCTCAGCCGCAGTACTCCGAAACAGCTCGATATACCGCTTCCCCAAGATCTGCTTGTGCTTCTTCAGGGCATTCTGGGCGTACTCTTCGCAAGAAAAGAGCACAAAGGCATCGCCAGTGGGTCGTCCATCAGGGTACTTGACAAAGAGAAGGCCCTCAGCACTATCTGTAACTGGGCTCTCAGGACCAAGGAAGGACAGCACTTCCTGGGGTGTGGCAGTGAACGGCAACCCCCGCATACGGATAATCACCTGGTTCTCTTTGGACAGGAACTGGGCCACCTCGTTAGATGTACCTGGTGTCAGAGGACAGGCATAATTAAACACCACATAATGCTCACAATGACAAGGCTAAGATGCTGATGATTGGTGGGTATAACACCCACCAATGTTACTATGTCAACCATGTTCGGCATCTTAGTTTAGCATGTTAGCATGCTTACATTTGGCTGATAGGTATGTCATGAATTTGCAGCTATTTGGTCATTAACAAAAGTATTGGAAAAATGCTCATTTTGACCTGGAAAAAAACTGGATAGTTGTTCACAACAATTCACTCAACCTCGTGGTGGTACTACAGGAAAGGTCAGGGGATCACCAAAGTTAGTAGGATTCATTGTCTGGGAACCATGAATGGACCAAAGTAAATAATGAGCCAACCTAGAGGAGTAAAAGTCACCAGGCAGCAATACCTGTGTTGTGCTAATCCAGCAAATTAAATACCTGACAAGACATTTCATCACATTGGTTTAACAATCCTCAAATTCCAAGAGGAATCATTTGAATTAATTTGCAATATTACCCAAACTGGCCTAATACACCTGGAGATAGAAGAGACAGAGATAAAAAAAAATATGCAAGAATTTCAGTTGACACTTTTTTCTTTGTATCAACCCTACCAACCTTTCCCAACCCAACTTCTTTCATCACTCAGCCAGGCTCTGCTACAGATTGTTCTGAGCTACTAACTCTACACCATAAGAATTATGCACCCTATATGTTAAACTATAGATATGATATGATATTTAACATGAAACTACTATGAAAACAGTAATGAATCAAGTAATGAACCAGCCAGTGCTGGGCAGCAAAGCAGCACAGACAAAACCAAAAGGGGGATGTTTGTGAGGCAAACTGTCTGGTTTGCAACCAAAAAGTTCCACATTGTCTTTGACCACTGATGTGTGCACAGGCACATGCAGCTGAACCAAGACAGAACTTTCACACAGCTTTATTCACCCACCGCCATTACACAATCACCTGCACTTGGTTTATTGTCTTTGTTTACATCATGTTCCTCTTTACTCTGCTACATTCAAGGAGAGTCAGTTTGGCATTAAACTAGCAAAAAATCGAAGATGGTATGTTAACTTAAATGACCATGCAAACACAAGTCAAAACCATTTAAAACAGCTACAATATCAAATTTTATTTTCCAATATCTGATATGATTAAATTATTTGGATTATACATTAAATTACAAGTTTACTGTGAACCACTTTCATTTCTATTGATAAATGCAGCTGTGTCTTGTCTGCTTAAGAACTATTTGCTTAAAGTCCAATGTGCTGTCAATCTGTACTGATCTTAACTCATCTGAGTAAAGTCCACAGTCAGACTGGCAGCCACTGTAAGTTATCTGCTCTGAGTGACTGTGTTTCTTTGTCTGCTATCTCTGTCCTGTGTTACTGCTGGCTGCTGCTCGACGGTCCAGAGGCCTCGGGCCCTGCCTTTGTCTCTTCACGCCTCCTTTGTACCAGTACTGAGCCAGTCCTTTCACCGGCCGCCAGCCTTCTCTCCCTCAGGGGAGTGGCGCTCGAGGCCGAACAGAACAGGTGAGCTGCTGTTAGCCGAGAGTGAAATTTCTCTCCAACTGGCCTCTGAAGGCTTGGGTTGGGGGCTAGGAGGTGAGGAAGGGACGGGGGGCTGTGGGGGAAGCTCCTCACAAAGGGTCTTTCATTAGTCCAAGATAAGCTGCTGGAGAGTCACTGGGATGAGGCATAGACACAGGTAATAGGAGAGAGCGGCAGAGCGCAAATGAGAACCCTTCTTTTACGGTCACTAAAGAGCTGCTCTTTTACAGATGTGGAAAGGTCTTGTTTTTCCTCAAAGAAGAAATAGAAGTCTAACTCACAACAACAGAAAGCCTTTCATCACAAGTCTTCCTACAAACATGGAGAGAAAAGAGGAGAGGAAAAAAAATAAAAAATACAAAATCTGACCTCCAGCAATCTTGAGGAATTCCTCTCCTGTGGCCTTGTAGACCTGAGAAGACAAGAGGAAAGAGAGCCATAAAGAACAACTTCAGACTGACAGTGACAAGTGATAGATCTTTACCCCAATAAACAAAATAAAGATAGCGGTAAAAATTTGCAATGGGATTATTATTACTATTGTTATTATTAGTCTTAGTATAGTTATTGCTGTTGTTGTTGCTGTGCACTTTTGTCTGTCTCTTTCATACATTGACTACCTAAGGACTTAAAGGGGGTCATGTGTTCAGCTTAGCTTATTTTAAAAACACTGAAAAAAAATTACAACATGACTGAACAATAAGTATTTAATTCTGTATCTAACCTCGATGTAGCGGCTGCCCATGTGGTGCTTGTGGCGCTCCAGGGCCAGGTCCCTGTGTTCTGAGTTGATGAAACGAACTAAGGCCTCGCCATTTCTCCTGCCCTGAGCGTTAAGACACAGCGCCACGCCACCCCTGAAACACAGGTGCATGAACACAGTTAATGATACGGAGCTACGGTCAGGAAAAAAACCGTAACAGGTACTTGAAGGTTTGGTTATGAGAACTGCGTTCAATAAGAATACGCAAGATCTTGTCATATCAGTTAATGAATACTTTCTCAGATTTGCCCGTTCATAGTCTTTATGCTAAGCTATTGACTGCAAGCTTAGATTGGTATAAATCTTCTGATCTAAATCTTGGCAAGAAAGCAAATAACAAGAGTATAAAATGAAAATCTTACATGAATACAATAGAAAAAGTACACACACTGACTGACTATTCTAACCTACAGCGCAATAAATATTTAGTGCCTTTAAACCCATGACATTGACCACTGATTTTGCTGGCACAATGGCAAAAGTAAGAGCACCAGCTGCTGAAAAAAAAAAAAAAGAGCCACAAATGGGCATCCTGACTAACATGCAGAAAGCTTAAAAAAAACACTTAAATGTTTAAAAAAGTTTAAATGAAGTTCATTCAAGTAATGGGGTTGTTAGAATTTGCCCATCAAGTCCAACATACTTGGCAATACTGAGGCCTTTAAAGAAGCGAGCAATGTCTTGGTCTGAGGACTGCCATGGAAGCCCCCGTGCTCTGATCACTGTCTCACTGTCCACCGGCTCTGTCTTACTACTGAAGAGAGAGACAAAAAAAAAAAACAAGAAAAATAATTAGAACATATTAAAGCATCCCTAAAGATGACTATAGCTTTTAGAAAAAACATCACTGCTCTTGTAACATCTGAACAAATTGTCCACGGACTGTAGACAGAGGCCACTCACAGTAAGTGCTTAACACAGTAACGCACTCCCATGATTAAATGTCAGGGGGTTGTCAAGGTGATAGGCTTTTGACTGTCTGAGAGCGACAGGATTTGGTGTTCTGCTACTGGATAGCCAGGTAAGCACTTGATGGCAAAGTTGGACAGCTTTAATAACACACTTGTGGTTTCCTTGTTGCTGTAATCAATGCTAAGGGCCCCGAGGTCTGAGGTTTGAGTATGTCTGGAGGGGGGTTGTCAGTCTGTAAACAACACTGTTGGCTAAGAGGTGTGGAAGAACCCACACAAAGATGGAGTGAAATAAAGTTCATACATACCATGTGCCGGAATCAAACTTGTACTTCACTGTTTCAACAGAGGAGAACTTGTGATCTAAAAATAAAAATAAAATTGCATCATTGAATGTGTTGTTGGATCCTGAAGTTCCAAAACAATGTTCTGTCTTTTCTGCAGTGAACAGGTTCACCCTGACAGGCAGCATGTGTTTAAAGCGCTCTGCATTCCTGTTACCTATCACACCCAAAGACATACTTAGCTGTTATTAAAAGGGTAAAGCCAGAGGCGACTGCCACAGTCAAGTCAGAAGATATCAGATCAAAGTTTTGATTTATACTGTAACATATCTGGACCCATCTTACATTTATACATACTGCAGTAAATCATCTGATGGTGAATAAGAGGGTTTGCTGCTTTTTAAGACACCTTTCAATAATAATAATAATAATAATAATAATAATAATAATAACTTTAAAACACCAAATAAGAAAGCAACCAAGTACTACTAATACAACTAAATACAAATAATACAACTTAATTATATAAGCCTTTCTGGCTTATATAATAAGTCATTGCTCAATCAACAACAAACTACCACACCTTCTAGTTAAAGTAAAAGTATTCTTTTTGTAAACATCTGGGCTTTGTTCTACTTTTCATCAAATTATAAACAAGACGGGTTGTGGTACAATGTAAAGATTTCAGTTATATAGTCACAATGCTGATTATATAAACTCAAACCATCAGGTAGCCAAAGTTAGGTTTACACACACTTATAAGTGCTGGTACTTTACTGGTCTTCACATGGGCCTGGTATTTTTTTTGTCTTCTCTGCACTCTACCACACATGGGAGCTGGTGGGCATTCAGCTTTTAGTGCATTGTCAGATTGTTTTAGATACAGGTACTTACTGTAGGGCTCTGCCAGGATGCAGAGTGTCAGCTGCACCATACTGCTCACCTCCCTCACCCCCATCAACTGCTCTGACACAGCAGGAAGACCAACATCTGCACACACAGTTAAGGACAAGCTACCTATTATTTTGACTTTGTACGACTTGTTGATGGGTCATGCTGTTAGGATTTTGTGCCCGCTTCCTTTTACATCACTAAGTCTAAACTGAATTGTCAAAGAAAAGTATATATACTGTGTAAATACAGTTCTGGGTGTACATTAACATTTGTCCTTGTATCTTCCCTGAAATATAGCACAGAGAATCAATAAGATGCGACTACAAAGACAGTTTTAGTGTACAGGCAGGCAAAGGATACATTCCAACATGGAGGGGAGTTCGAGCTTCTGCACAGGGCCGGCATTGGGGCAGCATTTGTGAAACTCCTTCCTGATGTCCACAAATGAAAAGAAACATTCAGGAAGGACAAGATTCTGAAAAGGAAAAGACAAAAAAACAAAGGATTCAGTATGACAGTATGGCAATCTGATATGGATATTGGATACTCCAGGAAATTAACGGACAAAGAGATGAAAAACAGAGAATTCAGAAGAAAAAGGTTTGCTGACATCATGACAAGTCAGAGTTATACCCAGAAACACAAAAAGGAGGAAAACAGCAGAAAATAATTACTTCTTAATAAGGGTCAATGCCCGCATTCATGAGTGAAAGAAATCCCACCCTTAAAGCTTATCACATTTAACAACAGCCTCAAATTAACTAGGAAAAATACATATTCAAAACATTCTTTATTTTAACAAAGCAACTATGTTTTTTTTTTTCTACCATCATAAAACTCTGCGACATACCAAAAATATTTTTTTTTGCTAAAGAATAAAATGCTACTGGAAATATATTTCAATTTGGATCTGCAATCATGTGTCTGCAGTTTTGAGAAATAACAGTGGGAACGATTACCTTTTTGGAAGCTTCGGGGTGGAGGGCCTGTCGGATGACAAGGGGACTGTTGACACAAAGTGTGTAAGTGCTCCTGCCGAGGCATTTCAGTTCTGATGACACTGACTGTTGGAACTGCATAATAAAACACAGAAAGGAGAAAAGAATATTAAAACGTATACATTTCAGAATTTGTATCCATCACAGGAAAGCAGGACTTTGACAATATCAAATCTGAACATACCACAAATGTGTATCTTTAGAGAAAACAAGGTAATTTATTTGGGATTAATTCACTCTCATTAATATACAAACATTAAGTGACTTCCTAATAAGTAAAAAAAAAAAAATGGTTCAAGTATCTGTTGAGATATGAGTGAGAATTACAAGGTGCACTCAGATCTAAAGGCAGACAAGTGAAGGTGGTGTCTTGTTTGACATTTGACTGTGTGTTTGTTTCTCATTAGGAACAAGGACTTGTCTAACAGGTTTCTGTGTTTGCAGAGTAAGGGAGGGAGCAGACAAAGGAGAGGAATGATCACACCACTAATCACCAGGATCACAGTTTGTTTGTAGCATTACCAACAGTCACAGCCAAGAGGAAAAACAACTCCTACAAGTCCAACCTGCCCGTCTTCACTTTACAGAAACTCTAATGGCTTCAACACCCAGTCTTAAATACCAGCAACTCCCACATATGCATATGTTTATTTATAACTACCACATTCAAAGAGCCCATTCCTTGTGTTGTGTCAACCTGTTTGTTGGCAGCATTTCACTGTCAACAGAGGCCTTCAATTCAATATCAACATGAGGCAAAAAAACTTGTGAGGTCAGATGACTCCATTTCTGAGAATATTTTATTTTCTCATGATTTTAGATGATTCATCTTCAAGCACACATTTAAATCATTTCTTTTGTGGGCTGAAAGCAGGGTTAAGTAATTTTGGGCCACTTAAGACATCAGCAAAAACCTTTCACATCTCACACAGTTTCAGAGCAGCATGGATTGAAATCCTGCCTAATATTTGCTTACCTTTGGTTTAATCCACCAAATCGTGAGAAAAATATCCCACACTCATAGGTTGCTAAATGTTTTACCAGCTACTCATCTACTTGGCTCTTTGCCATTTCGTGCGGGCCGTATACTGTATTCAGCTTGTGTGCTGAGAGTGTCTGCTTACATTTTCAGGTCAGGCAGCGCTGAGGTTTGGTTGAGAGCCATTGGGAGTCAACCAAACTGACAAGACAAAACAAAACAAGTGAAAGTTGTTGATTCTGAGCGAGATCTGCTGTAACACTTGAGTTAGTTAAATGTTGATATTATGAAATGTGGTATGATATGGATGATTAGGCTTATATACTGAGACTAATAATTTGTAAATTACGCTTCTTAACTATTCTCTCTTC